CACACACATCCTAAAGCCATAATGGACTAGGGTGAACGATTTAGTGGCATCTAGTGGTAAAATTTCACATTTCAGCCAACTGAATACCTCTCAGCCTTCCAAGCGTGAAGGAAAAACTATGGTGGCCACAAAACCCACAGGTTGCTTTTTCTGTTCTGGGCTACTGTAGAAACGTGGTTCAACGTGGTGGCCGCTGTGGAAGAGGATCCGCTCCCTCTGTAGATAAAAACGATTTAGTCTAAGGTGAGGAAAACACAACGATTCATATTTTCTTTTATATGAAAACATAAAAATATTACACACTGGACCTATAAAACTCAGTCGTGCTGCCAAGCATCATTCTAGATTAGTCAACTAATCGATTAATCGATCCAAAATCAACCTGTCCTTTCTCTGTTTTATATAATATTAAACTGAATATCTTTAGACATTTAGAGACATCACCTTGGACTTGGACTGGGATGGGCATTTTTCACAATTTTCTAACATTTAAAAAATAATGGTCAGATTAATCGATAATGAAAATAATGGTTGCAGTAGTAGTTAGTTGCAGCCCTACATCATTCAAACCCCACAGCACTTAATATTAAATTCCAATGGCGATCCAAACGATCTAAATATGTCAGCTAATATATGCTAATACCTTATGTGTAACATTGCCATTGTAATGTTGAGGTTAATCTATAGCCTAATGGGTTTCAGAAGGAGTAAAAGAAAATGTGTGTCCCCTTTTCCTTTGCTTCTGTATCGGTGAGCATTAACCTACAATGAGGCGCCTTCCAAGGTCTCCCAGTACCAGGCTTTGTTATATAGATTCTGTTAGTCAAAAGAGATGTCACCTTAACCCAGCTGTGTGATGCTTTTATCCATGGCAACATGTTTTTGAAATAATTTTTGAGGCAAGACCAGAGAGTTTGTGTCTTCATTGATCAACTCTACTTGAATGTATATGCTTTAAGCCATTTGCTGAAACGACTCATGCTGTTATTCTTTGGAGGACAGTCTTGTATCCCCACATACAACACAGACATATACACACACATATGTAGTGTTCAGCTGGGTATTTTATTTAAGGCTGCATGAAATCTTACATTTCACTCAGCGTCTTACCATCATATAATGTCAATGGAGAGTTGGAAGAAGCTGCTATAATTTATTTATTTATATATATATATATATATATATATATGATACTGTCAGACTGTGTGGGAAAATACGATTTTATCAACCATCCTGCTACTGGAGCTTTAAAAAAAAATTGGGGGTAATTGGATTTTATGGGTTCAGGTTATTTTAGACAGTGTTTAGTTGTTATAAGTCTGTAGGTGATAGCCAAATGTTTGCATGTACATGGACTGGATGATTTATCATCTAATGCATGAATTCTCTATCTTTGGGCTTCTTGAATCTCTCTCTTGATTCTTAAATACACAACATGTCAACAACTTGCTTATCCTTGAGGCCTAAATATGCCAAACGTGCTCCACAGTTTTGAAATCTTTCTATCAGTCCTTTAATATTTGTGTGAATTGAAAATACACGAGTTATGAGTGATCAAATATACAGTTGTCACACCTTGAGGAAAATTGCCATTGAAGGAGCATTGTATATGTTGTGACCTAATAAAAAAAAAAAATCTGATTGTAACATCTTATCATCGCTGGCAGTGTATGAAATTACTGCACCATGCCAATAAACCATTTGGAAAAATATAATATAAAAAGAAAACTGCACATTGGAAATATAGCAAAGCATCCAGCAATCACTCGCACAATACGGCGCACATTTTGCACCCAAAAGTAACAATCCACGTTGCATTTACATGTTGGCTTTGACACCAGTTTACAGTCGATTGTTGTTTGTAAAATATCCCCTCAGCTGCAGGCGGTGCTGCTCCCTCATCTGTAGAGTCACAGAGGCTGTCTGGCTCGTAGCAGGGGAGAACACTGTATATCCAGTCCACTTGTGGGCTGCCAGACCCTGAACACACCCAGAGTAACTTGTTAACTGTTCACCGTTGGTGCCCTCCAGCCCAGCGGCTATGCTTTGCATGTCTCCAGCATCCCCCCCACCCCCCACCCCCTCAGCTGTGGGTTGCCAGGTCCTCAGTCCCCCCAGATGCGGGTTGCCAGATCGTAGTAAGCCCATGCAGCGTGGAGGGGGTCTGAGACGCTGGCTGTGGCCCGGTGCCACGCTGGGCCCGGTTATTATCTCCAGATGACATCAGCATGAGCAGCAGATGCCTTTTTGGCCACAGGGGCCGAACAGAGAGAGAGACAGAAAGAGAGAGAGAGTGTGTGTGTGTGTGTGAGGCTGTGTGCATGCTGTTCTCCGCAGGATCAGGCTATTTATTACCTCCCCACTTATCAGGCCATCTCCCTCACTCAGCTGGGAAGGAGTGTCTGTTTCATTCCAAAACGACCATTTCTCCTCGTGATGATAATGTAATCATGCAAAGACATACACACATACGGAGATGAACCGTTTAATAATAGTAATCGTTATCTATTTGCTGTGGCAGTGATGCTAACACACACACACGTGAAAAACGACATGATAATTAGCCTCATGAATAATTATGATGATACTAATTGATAGTAACAATCACAGTAATAGCAATGAAACAACACTGCTTGATGCCACACTGGATACACTTTACATGACACTCATCTCAGGAACAGTGTGAACAGGTGAATAATGCGAGTTACACTGGAGCACAGCACCAGAAGATACTGCAGTTAATGATGGTGATCAAGTTTGTTATCTAGGTCACCTGGTGTGTGTGTGTGGCCAACTGTGTGTGTGTCGTCCCGCTGAAAGCTGCTGGTTTATTTATGCCTGTGTTTTCTTTGAGGGACAGGCAGAAGAGGCAGGAGATTAAACTCATGGAAGCAAATCAAAGCAGAGGCAGACGATTTAGATTAAAGCGCCTGCACCTCACCAGGTTTAGCAAGTGCACGGCGGGTGTGTATATGTGTGTGCCCATACGTGTGTGTGTGTGTGTGTGTGCCTGTTAGGCTGCCGTTGCCTCTCTATCACCTCAGTTATTTTACAGTCCTCCTTCCTCGCAGCTTATTATATACAGTCTATCCCTGCACTGCGCAGACCAATTTAATGGAGGGAAAAACGGGCATCAGGAAATGATATTTCTAATCAGACGACGGCAAAGGGCCCCTTTTATTAAAGTGGGGGTGCTCTCTCTTTCTGTCTCGCTGTCTGTGTTCAGAGCAGTCTACAAGGTTGATAATGGCCTCGGCCGGCCTGGTGTCATCATATTAAAGCACTGAGTGATTCCACACACACACACGCATACACACACTCATTCCCTTTCCTCCTCTCCAACCAATTCCCTCATATTCTTCCTCCTTCGCTCTTTTCTAGTGAAAATGGACACTTTTGTTGTTCTTTCTTTTATTGCTCGATACCGGTGTGTATTATACCTTTGAAATATATTGAATTCCCCAGAGTTCCCTGGGCAAAGCAATCGCACCTCATAAAAGCAGCTGTGGATTTGTAAAGCGGTAATGTGCTGGTGATCTCATGCACTGCGGCAGGTGGATGATGTGGCAGAGCAAACAGTGTGCACACCTGCAGAATATAGTGTTAGTATAGTGACAGAAACAGAATTGAATTACATTTTTTTAATGGAATTTTTTATACTTTATGCATAAAATGTACCGTACCTCAGTGCTTGTGAAGGAGTGGTTGTAGTTTTTCACACAGAATACAAACTGAGTTCAGATAATTGATTTAGTAAATAATGTGATCATTTTCTTTTACATTCAGTCATAATTAAAATAGCTGTGATGTCTTTTTTTTTTTTTGAGAAAATTCCCTTTCCATTTTTTGTGGTTAAATAAACAAAAAATTACTGTACGCTTTTAAAGTTGTTGCTGTTATTACTGATCTTATCTGAAAGTGTTTAAAATCATGTTTTGAAGGTCAGCCATCATCATGACAAGACAGTAGATTTGTCAAAGAGAAACATTTCTTCTCCAGCCACAGAAGGCAGTCTGAGCCTTTTAGCAAAACCTCCTGCTTAAGCTGCTGCTGCTTTGGGGAAAAGGATTTAATCCAACAAGAACATTGTAATTAGCCTGCTAAGGCAAGACCTTCAACATGCATATTATGCATATTAAAATTTTCTGCCAACCTTCAAATATACCTAGTGCTGGATTATGCCTCCATGGATTGTGCCGAAGTCCTCTTCATCCCATATTACTACAGACAGTTTTTATTTAATATTTCAGTGGAGCCACACTGCAATATCTGAAACAAAACTGACAGCTGAACTGAAGGCCCAAAGGTTTCATTTGTCAGTCAAGTCTCACAGTGACTTGTTTGAAAGCTAGTAATAAAACTGGGATTCCCATTGTAGTTGCACCTCTACTTTGTATGTTGTACAGCAGTGTGACACACTGGGTAAACTGTTCAACAGCTGAACTAATGGCCTTAACCTGATCTTTTTATCAAATAGCAACACTGTAAGCCTAAACAGCAAGTCATTTACCTCGCTGCCTTTTTTTTATCTGCATCTCTTTTTTGGTGGTTATAAAGAGGTAAAAGGTAAATCAATGAGGAATAATGGCTTTAAACCTGACTCACCTCATCAGTGCACTTCATGAAAAGAGTCAGTGTATGTAAGAGTGTCCAAGGGCCATTCACAATGATATTCTATAGACTGTCAAAAGCAGTTTATCTTATGCTACTTGTGGAGTCATTTTCTCTAGTAGAGGCAGCAGACAAGCGCTTGTGTGTGTGTGTGTGTGTATGTACACCCATATGCAGGAGCACATACAGTGAGTCTGTGGAAGAAGCACAGTTGGTTTCAGTCGTAGCTGTGAATACAGATGGTGTCTGAACAGGGACAGACTAAACAGTTGCTCTGAGTTGCATCAGTTGTGTTTTTCTAACTCTGCGCCATATCATCACAGTAGAGCTAAATCAAACTTAACTTCTAATTATAGGCCACTGGTGGCTATGTGGGAGTTGTCCCAGAGATAGTCAGTGGTTAGTGTGGAAACAGAGAGGAAACAGAAAGTGTCACACAGGTAGCAAAGCCTGGCTGTTCAGCCTTTCTTTACTTTTCCACTCCTTTGTGTTTTATTTTTCAGTTGCATCAGCTGCAATATGCACACAGTTCCTGCTTTATAGCATCTACTAATAACTTCTATGTCTCTCTTTCTCACCCTCCAGTCAGTGTGTTTTCATCCGGAGGCCCCTGTGCTGTCCTGGAAGTTGACTGGTGACCACAGGTGGAAAACCAACAGTATGTTGTCACCCCAACTCAGACACCACCTCCAGGCTTGAGCTCAAGGTAAACAAGAATGTCGCCAATACATACACACGCACACACACACACACATATACAGATACACAAAGTCACGCATAGTGGGTCTGCTGATATGCCTGGTAAGCTCATAAATTAAGTTTCTGACATTTGCGTCCACATTCACTGACACGCACGCACATAGGCATTTGGACACAAAGCAAATATGTCATCCCAATTCATTAACACACACACTCATCCCCACCCTGACCTCTGAAACACACACAGAAGCAAAGCGTATATACAGCATGTGACAAGTGCACACAGTGGCCAGGACCATTCAGCCTGGAGTCACAGGGCGTGGTTTTGTTTTTAGTTTTCTAAGCCAACAAACATCCTCCAGTTTCGTTACTACTTTGAGTGTGCAACATTGTTTCTGTTAGCTGATTAGATGTTACTTCCTGAATGTCAACCTGCTGGTAAAGAATGTCAACAGAAAGCTTAAAAGGCTACAAATCGATGCTCGGATTGACTGCTGTATAAAGTATAGAGGAAAAAGTGGAAGGTTAGTTGCATCATATAACATCATACATGCAAAATATAGAAGAATATTGTTCTCAGTGCATGTTCTTAAGAATAACATAATAAAACAATCCCGGGCCCTATCACTGTAATTGAAACTAATGCAAGTTTGTGACACACCCATGAGCAGATACCTCTGTACATTTTTGTATCCATTCTTTGCTGTTTAACTCACCCTGCCGTTCCGCCCTTCTAGCTATTCATTGAAGTTCATGACAGCATTAAGCTGGTTTGAATGCCATAAAAGACCATGGCTGTGAGTCAATGGCCTTGCCTGCCCAGCCCACAGCTGAGGTGGCCATTTTAATAGGTATTGACGGCAGGTTTTAGTCGCGTTCTCCCACCACGCTTAAAAGCCCATGTTCTACTGATTAGCTAATTAAAACCTAGAGCGAGGGCTATCGATCCAGGGGAAGGGCAGTCAGGAGGCATCTGTCCCTCAGATGGCCCCGGTACTCACTCCCCCCTTCCCACACACACAGCTCTTCAGTTAAGGCCTAAAAGCATTAGCAAGGCCTTTCACACTCCACTAGATCTATATATTGGTTTTGAGTAGAAGTTATCACTTCTATTTTAAGAACATTTGCTTGTGATTACCTGTTGAGGAGGTGATATTTTTCTGTGTGTGTGTGGTGTTCGATCGGTCCCCTGCCGGGCTCTCAGTAATAGTGGGTATTTATATGCAGAGCTATCAGACACCTGATGGAGGCAGATTACAGGCTTGTGGCTGGACAGGTAGCTATAGAGGTGTCAGCCCTCACTTTTACAGAATCAAGACTCTTCCCTTTTTCTGCCACCTCACACTAATACCATGATATCACCAGACTGGTTTGAGACAAGCTTATTTTTCCGATAAAGGATAGAAATAGATAAATACAGTGTGCTGTGTTAAAGTTAAGTGTTAAATCTCAGACAGATGAAAAATCACAGAAACAATTGGTGTCACACACTGGGGGAGTTTTTGGAAATGGGTCACTGCAACAAAACAGAACAGATTAGTAGCAGATTAGTGAAACAACAGTAAAATTAGATAATGAAAAAGGTAAGATATGATTAGCACTAATTTAATTCAAAATGTATTCCTCATTTTCTACGATGGTCAAAAGGGAAATGGTTCAATCACAGACGGAAACACTACGTATCTTTTTTTATATAGATACATATAGTTGATCCTATGATGTACATTTTCATAATGTTCTGTTCATGTATTTAGTTTCATTATGTAAGAAAATCACTGATTTTGGATTCATCTTTGCATTGCAACTACATGCAAACCAGTAAATTCATCCGGCCCATTTTCTACCACTCTGTGTCTTGAAAACAATAAAAGTAGAAATATAAAATATATAAAATATAAACATGTTATAAGGCAGTTTGCACGATTTATGGAATTTACATAGGCTAATTATAAACTTTTAATTGTAGAAAAAAAACACACACAGACAAAAACAATTAACTAAGTATCTTGGTGGACAAATCGGTGTGTTTGACCTCCTGCCTGCATAACAACGTGAGGTCAGCTGAGGTTGACAGTGAATATTTCATTGGCGCAGTTATGCAACTCATACACAAACACACCTGTGTGGAAAGTAGGCCGTGTTAGTTCCATAATCACACTCTTTCATAATGAGACTTATCTAACCACTGATCCCATCTTGGATAGGTTTTACACAGCAAAATAAACCGTGTGTGTGTGTGTTTGGCTTTGGGTGTGTGTGTGGCTCTGCACATTCAAGCGTTTCCCCTTACATTGCATTGAATATTAATACTGATGATCAACAGTTGAGCAGAACAAAATGCTGTGTGTGTGTGTGTGTGTGTGTCTGTGAGAGAGAGAGAGAGAGTGCAGTATATGCGTGGATGTGTTGATGCCTCCATGCATTTATCCAAACAATGTATATGTGTGCATAAAGACAGTGTGCGTCCAACGGCTTGGAGCGCACAGCGCCTTGCAGACTCACATTTCCACCTCTATATTCATTAGCCTCCCGCTCGTCTCTCCTGGGATGGAGGATTAGCCCGAGAAGGGAAATGAATGCTTTCTGGGTAGACGGCGTTCTCTCTGCCTGCAGCAGGAGGTCCATTGTCTGGTTTGATATCCGCGCAGGACACGGGACATCTGATCTGGCAGCCCTGACACACACGACACAACCGTTAGCACAGGGGGACCAGAGAGGAAGCTGAAACATGTTGACAGGAAGTGCTGCCGTTTCCATCTGGGGACTACTGTTTGATCGGAGGAGTAAAATGCGCTTGTGATTGACTTTTCTTGTTAAAAAAAGTGGTGGACAGGAATGAAGACTTTATTGGTTTCCTGTTGACGAGTGGGGACATGTCAACAGGAAGTTGATTTATTCTCGTGGTGTGAGTCATTAAGACGTGCTGGGAATGGATTTTACTTTGTAACGGGGAGGAGGGTCGGCAGTTCGACCTTTATTGGGTTGCAGGTTAGAGAGTAAACAATAGGAAATAGAATTTGACTTATAGAATATACTGGGAGGGGATTGATTGGCATTAAAAGCATGTGTGTGAGACAAGGCAGCTCTATGCTCAGCCACTCTCAGACAGGAGGGGGAGTTGAAATTTTGATGCAATCAATGGCAGCGGGCTTAAATGCAAAGAGGTTTTCATAATGCATTAGCAGCTTCTTGTATTATTCTGCTTCATTACTGAATAATGCCACATCAGGAAATAGATTTTTTTTCTAACCAATCTAAACCAAAAATTCTCTAGGACAAAATTACTCTCTGCAAATGGCGGCATTAAGCTTCAGAGGATAGAGCCCGTCTTTCACCATACTGCCCCGTTCCCCTCTCTCCTCTGTCCACAAAATCCATCAAGGGAATTTAAGTAGCTGTTAATTACTTCCCTGTCCCTATTGAAAAGAGAGAGAGTGCGGGAGAGAAATCAAGGGAGAGAGAGAGACTTTAAAAGAGCTAAAGCTTCGCTGCGGTGAAAATCCTCTCTGCCTAACAAAACCAAATCAATCTATAGCCCTCAGCCATCCACAAACCGCTCTACACTCACACATATACACACACACAGGAAGATGATCCTGTAAATCTGTGGTCTCCAGGGGCTGTTTGAGTGCTACTCCAGGGTTTTTTGGGAGGGGGTGACCACAGGGGTTCAGGGATTGAAGGAAAGTGTAAATATCCCCAAATTGCAGCTAAAATGTAACATTAGGATTGGTAAGCCCCACTCTCGCCCATAATCTTCCACAGCACTAAACCATCGCACTAAATGACCTCTATTACAGAGCCAGAACCCATTAAGTCAATACAGGAGAGATTACCTGCAAAATAGAAGCGACTACCTGCTCCGACAGATGTGGCCCCCAAAAGAAGCCCGGGGCAAAATTAGATTTGGGGCCGGGCGTGGCTTGTGCCTGCGGGCTGGAATTAGAGGATGTAGTATCGACCTCTGCTTGCTTGTTAGGAAGGAATGTGTGTACGGGGGCAGGAGGGTTGATCACAGTGCAAATGGCCGGGATCAAAACCAGGGCACTGTTGTGTTATTTAAGACCAAGTGAGATCCTTAAAGCTGAAGTAGAGCTGTGGCTGAGGTGGTCAGGTGGTTAGTGACGTCCTGTGTCACATGTTGGAGTCTAGCAGCAGTCAGTGGACACGTGTCCTGGTGAAACCCAGTTGTTGGATAAAATCTGTCAAAAATGTAACCATACTGTCCCAGACAGTAAGTGCTCCTTTATGACAACTATAGACTGAAACTATATTAGAATTAGACTGTGGGTGCTCAGCCTGCAGAGGGTTATTTGTTGCTATAAAAAGCATGGTATTAAGCACAGTTTTGTTTTGAAACTGAGTCGATCGTTAATATCAAGTTCAGGTACAGGAAGTGTATTTATTTGATTAACTGATTTATAAAGGGTAGGTGACCTAAAAGAGAAAAAGATAACATTAAAATTATGAATCATTCTAATATGACACATCAAATATTTTAGGAAATGGCAACTAAGATTCTGGTCTTTATACTAATTTTACTCCATTTTGCATCATGTATCAAAAGCTAGAAATAATCGCTACTGTAACTAAAAGTTAAGAGTATTTAAATCATAATACAGTTCCATGATAAGCCTTTGTGTTTTGAAGGGGTCAGCTCACCCATATTACAAAAAATATATATTTTTATTTACCTTGAGTTGTGTCTGGCCATGTCAACAGCTTTGGTTTTGAGATATTTGTGGTATAGCTGAAGAATTTTGTTTGTGGTGCTCACAGCTTTGAAAAGTTACATTTTAAAAATTTACAACACTCAAACATTGTCAACAGTTGTTACTGGAACCAACCAGCTTTTACTGAAGAGATGGTCGCTACAAACAGAGTTGACAGAGTGTTTTCTGGACTATCAGTGACATGCAGAAAGGAGGCAAAAATCTCTGAGACACATAGCTCAAAACTTCAGCCAAAACTACAGTATATAATATGCAAGATACAGCTGGAAGCAAATGAAAATATGTGTTCATAATTTAATTGAGTAAACCCTTTAAAAACACGTCAGTCATTTCAATGCCAGTGTAATACAGTGCTCTAGTGTCATTGTCTGTAGTCCACATCCTCACCCGCTCACTGAAAACCTCCCAACATCCTAAAAATTCTCTAAATTCCCTTTTTGTCTCTCTCTCTTCTTCTCTCCAACAAATGTATTTTGTACCAAAGAGCCCAAAATCATTTCAGTACATTACTTCATGTTAGCTATTATGAAGGCTGAAAAATAAGTTTGGTTTTGTGTGTGTGTGTTTGTGTGTGTGTGTATTTTCCTGTTAGATGTTATTGAACTTGCATGTTTAGATTCATGCAGGCATATGTGTGTAAGGACAAAAAGTGAGGTGTGTGTGTGTGGGGTGTTTGTTGCCATAGCAGACATCCCGCAGGGAACGGATAGTGGTGGAGATGGAGGGAGGGCGTTTTTAAGCACTTCAAAGTGGCCTCATTCCACACAGCTGAGCTCAGAGGTGTGTGTGTGTCTGTCTGTCTGTGTGTGTGTGTGTGTGTGTTTTCCCTTTGTGTGTCTATCTGTCACTATATATGTCTGCATATATATGTAAATGTGTGCATATAGTACATGTGTTAGCCTTAACATCTCTTTATCTGTCTGTTTTCTGTATGTTATGCTTGTGTGTGTGTGTGTGTGTGTGTGTGCGCGTGTGTGTGAGATGTACTGCTGTACCTGGCTTTGTTTATGCCCTCTTCCAATCTGGGCCTCTCTTGGGAATGAACTACAGAGAGTACTGTGTATGTGTGTGTGTGTGTGTGGTGTGTGTTGGAAGCTGTTTTAAGTGTGTACAAAAAAAAGCTATGTGTCTCACACGCAGAGTGGAAGAGTGAGGGAAAGTGAAAAGATAGAGAGTGTCACAGTGACTGATGAGTTTCTGGTTTCATCCTCGGACGCTGTGAAAGTGAAATACACTTTCTATTGCTTTGTCTCCTCTTTCCCCGCAGGAGAAAATGGAAATAGCCAACATCGAACCGACGCAGTCAATACCACTCTCCAGAAAAGGGCTGAGAGGGACGTTCTCCGCCGAAGAGCAAGAATGATGGAGGGAGGAGTGGGTGATAGCCAGAGTATGTCAGGTTTCATCTACCCTGTGTGACACACAGCTCTCTGACAGCTCTGCTGCACTCGATCCAGTCTCAAAAATCTCTCTCATGCTCACACACACTTTTTTTCTCTCCCCATGTCGCCCTCTCTTTCTTTCATGCACTCACCCTTCTGTCTTCTCCCTCTATTTCCAGTTCTCACACTCTATCTTCATCAGTCTCTCACCCCCTCTGGGCTGCCATTTTGCAGCATATGGCTCTCCCACACAAGTAATCACACATGCACTGCCATATGCGTTTGCTCATACACCCTCACATGCACTGTCTTTCCCTCTCCTCTCCTGTTTATTTGCTCCTCTTCCTTCTCTGTGTATCTTTATTAAAATAGCACCTAGCCAAGTCATTCGCATTTAAATGAGCTAATTATGAAAAAGTAGGATGGAGAAGAGGGGATGTGATTGGTAGGATGACTTTGACTCTGAAATTTCCATCGCTGTCGTTTTATATTTCTTCTGACCGATTGGCTGAAATCGCTGTCATTCAGGCATTCATAAGCTGTCAGTCACTGTGAAATGTCATTTCCCCACACATGATTTGATTTGTCAGCCTCTTCCAATTTCTCTGCCCATTTTTGTCTCAAACAAGTGGAGCATTGAGCTACAGGCCCTGGTACAGTTTGGTCATCTGACCTTCAGGTGTTCCATTGTATGTGAAGCAGGGCATTGTGTCAGGCCTAAAACATGCTTAAAATAACATCTAACATCTTGCACAGCGGGGTTTCCTGACATGTTTCCTCACTGACAAGTTGCAAAATGTGAAACACATGTAGTGCATATCACAAGGACAGTAAAAAAACCCATGCTGAATACATGTTTTAGGCCTCAGTCATTTCTGATTTAATTAAGGTTCAAAGTGTAGGCAAAGAGTAATTGTGGTCTTATTCTCAACAGAATAGGATTATTAATGTTACAATGCATAAAAATGAGGATTAACACGGTGAGACCTTGAGGGGTGACATCTGGAGCTCACGGTACAGTTTAATAAGGTGCAGTAACCACTGTGATGTTTCAACAAACAGCATATCTTTATCAAAGAAGACATGCTAAGGAATTCATGCACCCTTGGGGAAGAAATCAAATGTGCCTTTAATGCAGAGCATTAAAGTCAAGTCAATTTTTTTTTGCTCAAAATTACAAACCAAAAATGTACCTCAAAGGGCTTTACAATCTGTACAGCATACAACATCCTCTATTCTTAGACCCTCGTTTCTAAGACAGCTGTTCACACCAGTTGAAGTATACAGTGGCCCGTCATTATGTTAATGCAGAAGATATTGTATATTTGCACATATACAGATGGCTAATGTGCAGAGATATCCTTACAATAGATTAATATGGTACTGTTTCTTTACAAAAATATCAAAATAAGAAAAGAAAAGCTATTTAATCTTTTTTTGTCGTCTGCATTTTCACAAATATGTTGTAGAAGCTGTGCATTTCCATTAACTAGAATATAGGGAGTACAACTATATAATTTAATTCAGGAATACTAAGATTTAGCTGTAAAATGAGAAGACATTTTCTGAATAACCTATAGAAATATAAAACAATCCATACAAGCTGATCTAAAATACGTTTTGTACATTAGACAGAAACTGCACAGTGTTCACAGTGCAGAGGAGTCACCTGTGTCTCTCCCACACAGACACATACAGTACATACATAATCATTAGTTCTCTCTCTGTCTCTAATCAGTGGAAGCTCTGCCTCGTTCTTTCCTTCTGTAATTACATCCCACGTACCGCATCAAGCGGCAGATTGAATCCTCATTGCTGCGCTAAACAAGTTTCAAGAGGAGAGATTGAGAGAGAGACGGAGAGAGGGATCTGACCCTCTTTAATGAATTCTGTCTGTCTCTCAGTCCTGTTGTCTCTCTGTCACTGTGTGTGTGTGTGTATGACAGAATGGGGTTCTTCTATGACGGCTTGATCAAACAAACACACACACACTGACACATACACTCACGCCTGACGCCAAATGTGTTTGATCGCAGTATTGTTGGTTGTGTGTTTTTATTACCTTTGACAAAAATACAGTGTTAATGTCCTGAATAAATGTGAGCAGGTGCAGTTTTTGGAGGTATTTGTGGCTCATGAAATATGCTGACTAACGAGATGGTAATAAGCTCTACACAGGCACTGGCATTGCCAATAGAAGAGAATAGTCCCCATTCATAATCAGTAGTGCTGTGGCCTCGCTTCCATGTATACATATTGATCTTCCTGCGCTCCTAAATGAACATGTGTGTCTCTTTGTTTTGTTTTTTCTCCTCAGGCTCTGCTCTACAGTGCTCCCTTGCTTGTTTCTCCTCTTCTGCGGGTTCGTGTGTTTATGTGTGTGATCGTGGCTATGGAGATGGATGCCAGGGGTGTGTGTGGGCGTGTGTTTATTTGCATTTACATGCAAACTTGTGCGCGCACATTTTGTTGTGTTTCTTAGTGTTTGTGCCAGGAGACGACATATTTCTGTGTGTATGTGTGCTTCTTTGCATGAGTGTATACAGTTCATCTGTGCGTTACCCGCAATGATCAGTGCAACCTTTTTGTTGTGTATGTGTGTGTGTGTGAGGTGGGGGTCTCAGGCGCTCCTGCGGTGAGATTGCATTGACCGCTGTGTTATTGCTCTTTAATTATCAATTACGGCAGCCCCCCATCCCGGGCAGAGTGCGGGGGTGGGGGCGTACGCGGAGGTGATAATGAATACAGAGCTGCCATTAGGACAGTAACCGGGCTCTCCGTCTGGGGCTGGGGAGCCAGCGAGGAGGAGGAGGGGAGCTGGCTGGTGTGCTAATGAAACAGGCTGCAGCTCAAGACAAAAGAAAAGCCACCATCCCTCCCTCTCCTTTTCTCTCTTCTCTTCTCTCCATCCCATCTTGATCCCCTCATCATCTTTTTTATCTCTCTCATGTATTTTCTTGCTCACTTTGCAGCCCACGTCCGCCACAACCACCCCTATAGACATAATGTACACACACACATTCAAACACACTCACAAGGGACTGCGTTCTTGCAGACAAACAGTGTCTGTATTTACCAAGTGGGTCATCTTTGAAGCTGTCAGCTAATCAGTTTGAAAATGTGCCCGTTCTTTCACAGCATATCATTACTCAAAATATTTCACAGCTTTTTTTGTTGTGCTGATCCTTTTATGGCCATTTTCTCACCGCAGTGTGTTAATATAATTGGTGCAAAAATGGGTAAAAAAAAAATTTATTTACATTTGAACTAAATATATATCCTATGGATGATTTTAGAGTTGTGGTAAAAAACCCTTGATCTGAGTTTAATGTGTTAGCAGGCCTCCATATTGGTTCTGTGTGTTCGCCCGTTGGTTATTCCAGGTGTAATAGGTTGGTGGGCGTCCTGTTAATTTCTGGGAAAATTGAAGGTGGCTGTTAATGAGGCTGTTAGTCAGTCCTAACACCTTCCTGCCACAATACTCCAGCTTTTTAATATCTTATTTATAACAAGAGAGGCAGTACTAAAGTTACCTGAAAGATTAGCCGTGTTTGAAGTTTTACATCCTCATAAAACACATTTCATATTTTTATAAAAGATATATTTATAGATAGATAGAAGATATTTTTGTGATTGAGCTGCATTTGCAATTTCTTTTTGTGAAAATAAACAGCCTCTTTGGATTATCCTACATGAAATAAACAGTTGAATGTGCTACCTCTCAGGACATGCAGTCAATAAATCTCTGTGCCTGCCTACTGTGCCTATAAAGAGATGCCACATGACATTATGTCAGCAGCACTCACATGTAAATAGCCTGTTTTATTTGGCTGACATGTAAATGCCATCATAGCAGCAGCGTAAAGCACAACGGGACAGATAGTGAGGGGCTTCCCTTTGTCCTTTCACTACATGACAGATGAGAGCTGCTCCTAAAATGCAGCTAGCAATCACATCTTATTTTTCCCTTTTAAGAGATGAGACACATTAAATGTCTCCTGGAGGGGAAATGTGAAAAATAAACAGAAATAAGCGTGGCCTCTGCACCACCATACAAGTAAATTACTGAATTAGAAACAGCCACAGGGCAATATGATGGCACATTTTCATGTAGTGGCAGACATGAAGAAGCTCTGCTAAATGTTTGTTTTCACTCACTGTGCAAATTGAAACGTGGTGTAGGAAACGTGACCAAGAGGTAGCCGCACTCTGCTTTGTCACATGTGCGTCAACCTGACCAGGCACCGTGCCAGGCCGAGACAAGCTGCTCCACCTGTTGTAAATGTTCTCTGGTGCAGTGATACAGTGGCAGATAAAGAGGTGGGTAAACCCTGACCTCCAGTCTGGAAGCCCTGTCAGACAAAACCACTACCTAAAGACATAAAAGTCAGTTACAATTAGATTAGTGCTTTTGTATATCCATGTCCTTGGGACTTGGAATAAAGTCATGTTTTATTTCAATAGTATGTATTCACAGTCTCAAAAGGCTTCACAGCTTCCACAGTATGAAGCACTAAATGATAAAGACATTCCCCAAGAATAAATGAGCTCTCTGGGTAAAGTGGGTTAAGGTGGTTTTACCCTTCAATATGTATTAGCTGAATTAATTTCCAGTATCTTTGTCAGTTTCATATTCAGAATAATAAAAAAAACCTGACAGTCAGGCACTCACAGCTTTTGCCCATTCATTTTTCCAAAACTAATGCTTCATTTGGTGGACAAAACACAGGGTTCTCGTCCATGACTTAACATCTATTCAAACTTTCTTCCAAAAGGAATTAATGCACCTCCAGCTTTATAGAGCTCAGGTGTTATTTGGATTGGAGTTTTAGATTGAACTCCACTCAAGGCTACAGAGGAAGAGATATAAAGCTTATTGAATTACTTTACCAATGTCTCCTTTAACTCAAAAAAGAGTCATTAGCCAAGTCTGCCCCACCTCCAGAGGACCAGTCATAGTATCCACAGCAAGAATCCTGTTGAGAGCGAATGTAAGCAAAACTGCTGGGCCTGATAACATCCCTGGCCGTGTACTATGAACATGTGCCTACAGCTGGCCAATGTCATTACCAACAGTTTGAACATATCACTGCCACAGAAAAGTGTTCCCACCTGCTTTAAGACAGCCACCATTATCCCTGTATCTAAAAAGTCTGCAGTTTCTAGTCTAAATGACTATATACCAGCAACCCTGGACCCTCAACAGTTTGGATTCAGAGCCAACAGCTCCACTGAGGATGCTATCTCCACAGCCCTCCACTCAGTCTTCACACATCTGGAAAACAGCAACACCTACATCAGAATGCTGTTTGTTGATTTGAGCTCAGCATTCAACACAATGTCCCTAAGCGGCCACCTCCTGGGCTGAAAATGAAGTCAACGCACTTGCCAACCACTGTAGGTCCTCGAATTGCCATTTGAGGCTGGCTCCAGAAGAGTCTATCTCCATAAACCCCCATGGTAAAATGCTGAACTTCACAGCAGAAATAAAAGTTTGTAGCCAGGTAAAAATGATGAATAATGAATTTTTATATAACTCGCTTGTTTAAATTGTATCAAGGCTTAAAGTTATGCATAAATAATGGTGCGACAGCTGGCTTTGAGTGACAGGTCGTCACATCCATGTCTTTGCCCATTTTTGGATTATCCAGGAGCCATCAGAGTCAGGCACTGCCAAGGGGCCGACGGCCAAAGCCACCACACTGAGCATTTCACAATGTCTTTTCAGAAACCTATGGATGACAGCACAGAGACTATGTCTATGTTTTATGCATGAATTACAACCATAAAACTGAGCTTAGAGAACACAGACAGTTTGGATGGGTGTTTACACCTCCTTAACTCAGGGCTGTGTGCTCAGCCCCCTCCTGTTCACACTGTACTATGACTGCAACCCCTAACATGGTTACAACTCTGTCAACAACACAACACTACCATCAACATCATCCAGCCGGATTTCAAACAACAGTGAGACTTCATATCTTGAGGAAAACAACCATGCAGAGTGGTGCTCAGAGCGCAGGAGATCATCTACACAGCATCAGTGATAATGGTGAGGTGAGGTGACTGCGCAGTGCCCAAAGGATACAAAAAGACAGTACCCACCCCAGCCACAACCTCTTCACCATCCTGCCATCTCGCGAGAGATACAGAAGTATCCACTTCTGTACCACCAGATTTCAGAACAGCTTTTTTCCTCTGTGAGACTCCTAACCTCATCCTCTGCACTCCTCTATATAAATGACTTTCTTGTAATTTTTTTTTTACATGGAACTTTCTGTTATGCTGGTTTTGCACATTACTATAACTAGTTTTTGCACTACCTTTATTCCCACTACAATGTTTAATTTGTACTGTAGCTTATATTATTCATATGACACTGATACTGCACATACTGTTCATATTTTACATGGTAACTGTATCTTGTATCTTCAAGGAAATATTATTTACTTTTTAGTCCTTTCTTTAGTGCTACTTATACATATACTTTCCTTTATTTTATTGCATATTTTATTTAAATATTTAATTGTCTGTACCTTTTCTGTGTGTGTAACCTGGAGTAGTGTAAAATTACCTTTCATTGTGTAATCCTGTGTTGTATAATGACAATAAAGCTGAACCTTGAACTTGAACCTTTTACATTGATATTTCAGTGTTCATCTAAACCTTACAATTGTTTAAGATTACATATTTTTGCTCTTTTAGACATTTTGTGCGTTTGGTCAAAGAATACTTAAAAAAATGTTTTATTGCAGCTGTAAAACAATTATAGATCATTTGAAATAGAAAACATTTGCATTGAATGGCTCCTATTAAATGATTTTGTCAGTATTTTATTGGTGGAGAAACAATATCAAATGTACTTGTGCACACTTGCCCTGAATTACAATTGTCTTTCTTTAAAAAGCTTCAGACAGTGTGGAGAGCCTTTTGTTAGTGTATTCATTGCAGGATTTGAACAATAGCAATGTATTATGTTGAGTTTATTCTCAACACATTCATTTAAATAAGTCAAACTCAGAGTGCAGTACATTTCCTGCTGAGTCACTGGGAGGTGGCACCATGTGAGGTATCAGTTACACTTTATACATAGTCTGTCTGTGCAGAATTATGTCTCTATCAAAGAGCAGTGTTTGGCCTCTTCAGGATCCGAATTGTTTCTGTCATCAAGTGTAGTAAATGTGGAGAAGATTGTCTTGTTGTGTACTGCCAGGTACCTTCTGAATTATCATGTGCAGGAAATGCACGTCTGCGTTTTAAGATTAAGGATGGATAAATTATGTTTTGTTCCAGGCAACTGTAAAATCACTTTCAAAATTCAAAGGACAAAGAAGAAACATTATTATAGGAAAAATGGGACAATAATACAGCCCCTCATGCCATTTTTGGCTTCCTAATTTAGCTTGCAAAAATAGAAAGTCTTCAGGCTATATAAGTCCACTGGGCTTTCAGTGTATGTGTTCTCTGAGAGCAGCAGGAGAAGATGCGGCCATGTTAAAGGTCATGTGTTCTTCTCTGAAAGGAAACCTTTCAATCCCCTTTAGACAAAGAGTAACACACAAACCCAAATTTATTTTGAAGGGATTATATAAATTATGTTTTGTATTGAAAAATATAGAAGAATCGCAGAATTTAAAAGAAAGTGTCATTTGGTAATAAAAAAGACAAACACGTGTGTGAGGTGTGTTTGTCTATCAGTGGGGAGCACCTGAGCTGCAGTGGTAATTCATTTCTTCTCACTGGCCCTTCCCTTCCCTCCTCTGAGACCCCAGCCTCCAAAAAAACAAAAACATAACCACACTTAGACTCTAGTGGGAGTTCAGATTGCAGGGTGAGGGGGGGGTGACCACACAGAGGATGTTTGAGCTCATGTCCCAGCACCACCTAGATCCCCCGCCAAGGCCCAGACAGACATGCAGATAGGATGTCCCGCCAGCGTCCCGCCAGCGTCCCGCCAGCCACAACCAGCTGTGCATAGAGAGGAAGACGAGGCCCGCCCTCCCTGTCCCCATCTGTCAGTATGTGCGCCTCCATCTCTGCTCCGCTGTCTGTACCTCCGTCTCTATGCTGATTGATTAGCTGTTTACATCTCTTTTTCCTCCAATCACCCCCCACCCCCACTCCCACATTGCTGCACCATCTTCTTCTTTTCCCTCTAACATACCTCCCTCTTTCTCTCTATCCACCCCTCCTCTCCTTTCTCTCCTCCTCCTCCTTCTCCTTCTCCTTCCTTCTCACACGAGCAGACAAAAACACCGCCAACCCCCTCACCACCACCACTACCACCACCTCC